TTTAATTTTTTTCAAGATTTTGAAGTTTTGAAGCGAAAAATGCACTTATTTCAGTAGCCTGTTTAATTCCCTCGGTGCTCACCGCTTGGCTTTCAGTCACAAGCCGCCAACTGAAACCCGGCGAGGTGAACGGCAAAGAATACTTCTTCGTCTCGCGTGAAAAAATGGAAGAGGACATCGAAGCGAGCAAATTCATCGAATTCGGTGAATACAAGGGCAACTTATACGGCACATCCGCCGACAGTGTGAAAGCCATTGTGAATTCCGGTCACGTGTGCATCCTAAACCCCCATTACCAAGCCCTCAAAATGCTGAGAACCCCCCAACTCAAGCCCTACATCATTTACATAAAACCCCCGCCCTTGGAGCGCCTGAAAGAGACGAGGAACGCAGTCCACGCCCGCTCGACCTTCGACGTCAACAACTCCAGAGGCTTTACAGTGCGTCATTTTCCTGAAAATCGTCATTTTGGTGCTGAATCTGGGTTTCAGGAGGAGGAATTCAGCGATATTGTGAAATCGGCCAGCAGGATAGAGTTCCTCTACGAGCACTTCTTCGACGAGGTGATCGTGAACGACGACCTCGCCGTGGCTTTCAGCCAACTCCTCGCAGCCGTGAACAGAGTTGAGTCGGAGCCGTTGTGGGTGCCGGCGTCGTGGGTTCAGTAATCTTATTTTAGTACCAAAGCTGTTGTTACCTAATATTTGTAAGTTATACAGAGTGGCAAAAAAAGATTGGAAAATATTTCAGGAGGTGATAGTATGGACTAAAATAAGCAAAAAAGTTACAATATACATGGGGGGCAAAGTAACGGTGTAGGAGATATTGAAAATTATTCGAATATACGAAAAATTTTGTGGTTATTTATTTATTTTTAAATTATTGATTATGTGACTGAAAATTTTGAAACACTATTGGAAAATTGGAAATTTTGAGTCGGAAACATGAATTTTTTTTAGGAATGTGGAAATTAAAACATTTTTAGAATGCTCAAAGTTAAAATATCAAATAAGAATTGAATTATAATAAGTTTTCTTTATTTTTAGAAAATGTTATTTTTAAATTCAGAATCAGAAAAATCAAACTGTACTGAAGATACTTGTCATTCCAGGTTTAAAAAATTATAAAATTCTTGCCAAAGAATTAAACAATGAAATTATAAAAAAATTTAAGAATTAGGATATCTGTCTTAAAATAATGTCTTGTCACATTGTAACGATTTCAGGATTCAGGATATTAAAATTAATTTTTTTAAGTTTGTCAGTTTTAACTTAAAATCGGAAAAAATAAAATTTTGAAATATTAAATGAGAATTAAATGAAAATTTTCAGGAACTCTTTTTTAGAAAATGTTAAAATTTTGAGATGTTATTTATTTATTTTTAAATTATTGACTATTATTTGATTGAAAATTTGAAATGAAGGTTGAAAAAACGATTTTGCTAAATCTATTGGAAAATTGGAAATTTTGAGACAAACATGAAAAATTTTTAGGAATCAGGAAAATAAATCATTTTCAGAATGCCCAAAGTTTAATAAAAAAACTCGGGAAAGGCAAAAGTAAAATTCCAAAATATCAAAAAAGAATTGAATTAAAATCTTGAGAAATTTTCTTAATTTTTAGAAAATGTTAAAATTTTGAGATGTTATGTAATTATTTTTAAATTCATGTCAATTATTCAGAAAAATCAGAAGATACTGAAGATGCTTGGCCAAATCAGAATTTTAACTTAAAAATTGGAAAACGAAAAAATAAAATTTTAAAATATTAGATAAGAATTAAATGAAAATTTCCAAAAACTCTACTTTTAGAAAATGTAAAAATTTTGAGAAGTTATTTATTTATTTTTTAATTATTGATTATACTTTACTGACTGTAAATTTTGAAATGAAAGCTAAAAAGAACAATCTTACGAAATCTGTTGTAAAATTGGGGATTTTGAGACTGAAACATGATAAATTTTTAAGAATTTGGGAAATAAAACCTTTTCAAAATATTCAAAGTTTAAGAAAAAAATTYAGTTTTTGATGTCAGTTTTAACGTAAAAATGAGAAACGAAAAAATTAAACTTTTTTATTTTTAGAAAAATAATGTTAACATTTGTTGTTTTATTTTTATAAAATGTTAAAATTTTGTCATGTTATGTAATTATTTTTAAATTTGGGACAATTATTTATTTGAAAATTTTAAAATGAAGATTGAGAAAAATTTGTTTTAAAACTGGAGATTTTGAGGTTAAAACATGAAAAGTTTTTTAGAATTAGAAAAATGAAACTTACAATTCTTATCAGTCCCAAAATAGCTCAAGGTTTAAGAAAGAAACTAGTTTTTATTATCAGTTTTGACTTAAAAATCGAGAAACGAATTAAAATATTAAATAAGAATTAAATAAAAATCTTTAGAAAAGTTTTTTATTTTTAGAAAATGTTAATATTTGAGAAGTTATTTAATTTTTATTTTAATTATTTGACTCTAAATTTTGAAATGAAGGCTGAAAAGAACAATCTTGTGAAATTTGAAAAATCTGAAAAATTTTTAAGAATCAGGAAAATAAACCTTTTCAAAATGCTCAAAGTTTAAGAAAAAATTAAGTTTTTAATGTCAGTTTTAATTTAAAAATCGAGAAACGAAAAATAAAACCTTTTTTTATTTTTAGAAAATGTTAAAATTTTGAGATGTTATTTATTTGTAAATTACTGACAATTGTTTGGCTGAAAATTAAAAAAAACGATATTTTGAAATCCATCAAAAAAATTGGATTTTGAACCTGAAATATGAAAAATGTTTAGACTCAAAAAAATCAAATCGTTTCAATAAGATCTTCACATTCAAAATAGTTCAAGATTTTAAAAAAAAAGTCCAGTTTTTGTCTAGATACTAACTATAAAACAACAAAAAACTAGATTATTTTAAAGGATTTGATAACTACTAACATAAACTTAAAAAAGTCTTGATTTCGTGAATGTTGGATTCTTAAATTCTTAAAGGTAAAAACGATTTTGGGAAGAAGTAAATGTTTTTTAACTTCATAACCAGTTTTAAGATTCTGAGATCCAAAAAAACTCAAGAAATGAAGATTTTGAGCTAATTTTTCAAAACCGGTTTTTAAAATCTTGTCCTTGTCTTGAATATATTTTTTTAATTATTGACTCAAAATCTCAAAAAAAAACTTCGAATATACTAATTATTTTCGATATCTCCGAAACCGTTACTTTGCGGTCTCATATTTATTAGGAATTTTTTGCTTGTTTTGGTCTATCCTATTATCTCCTGCAATATTTTACAATTTTTTTTCACACCCTGTAGATTTATTTTTTCGTAGGTGAAATTCAGTGTACAACCTGATCGCGGATTGTTCCATATTGCAACGCTAAATATGGCTTTATTTCGTGGTGTTAACACGGCGTTATCGCAGTGTTACCACTCGACAATCTTGGTGTAGCACATCCGCAACTTTTTGATATTTAGCGTAAATTTTTCTAGTTATAAACGAAATGCCTAACTGAATTTAGCTAATGGAGCTAATTGTTGACTTTAATATACTTAAGCAATTAGGGATAATAATTAGATTATTATTAATCGTTATCCTGTTTTAAATATTACCGATATTTTAGATGTGAACACTGCCATTTCGTACATGAATTGAATTCTAAATCGGTGTTTTCGCACTTTTGGTTGCCTAGTTTGGAATTTTTTTTTATACTCGTGAGGATTTTTTCGATAATAGTGCCTCCTGTCTTATCCACTGCTTGTAATCACTTTCTTTTTAGAGATGTGGGTTGTTGAAACATAGATTTTACAAGATTTGTGCTTTGACTAAACTTAAATATTTCACTATCTCTATTTTTGGTTTTATCACGTTTTTAGTGCATTTTTGCGGTGATGTAATACCACTCGGAAGCGCTAAAGAATCACAATTCGCCATTTTTAAGAAAAATTTTGTGTCAAATATTGAAGGAAAAAAATCATTTATCTATGAAAACCTGAAAACTTAACTGAAAAAAAGTAAGTTTTATGTTATGAGATGAAAATGTCACATAAGCTTAACAAAAGTGAAATTGAAAATTCTTATCACCTACTGGAAAATTCTGTGCTTCAAAATAATTTGGAGTAAACTTTCAGTTTTAGGATATTGAAATAAAACAAATGTTTTCAGTTAAAATTTGAAATCTTTGAACTGAAAACATATTATTTTGAATTTTAAAATTTTGGAGATTTCGAGTTTCAAGACAAATAAATTTGAACAACAATTATCTTGAAAATATTTTGTCTTGAGATGACAAAAATGTCCCAAAAAGATTTTGCTTTTTAAGATCTTCAATTTCCAAATTCTAATCACTTATTGGAAAATTCTTTATTTCAAACCAAATTTAGACTAGACTTCCAGTTTCTAATTTTTTATGATTCTAAAAAAATATTTTCAAAGTTTGGACTGAAAAAACATTATTTTGAATTTTTCAATTTTGAGTTTCAAGATGAAGGAAGTTCTTGAAAACGATGACAAGATCACAAAATGATAATTTATTTCGAACTTTTAATAATCATTAGTTGGAAAATATTTTTTTTTTAAAAAGCATTTAGAAGAAGTATGATTCTCGTGTTTAACATTTTTTTGTAATCAATTTTTTTTAAGATTTCTGTGTTATTTTCTTATTTTGTGTTTTCAGTTTCAGTTGAAGGAAAGAAAAGCTTGAATTTTGATTTTTGACCAGAAAATCTGCTGAAAAAATTTCTCGAGAAATGAAAAATTGTGATAAATTTATAAATTATGTCTTGAGATCTTCAGTTTCCAAATTCTAATCACTTATTGGAAAATTCTTTGCTTCAAAACAAATTTAGACTAGACTTCCAATTTCGAATTTTTTTTTGATCCTAAAAAA